CTCATTCTACATTCTAGTTCCTGAACCCTTCTACGGCGTTGCAAAGGCAGTCACGAGAAGGGCCACAAAACGATAGGTGACTAACAAATCTCTAGAATGGTGCAGAAATTCACCAGGGCAGAGACAGGCTAAAAGTTTCACATTTGCCAAAATTCACAGCAGACCTGAGAAGCAAAAACAAAAATTCTGTCAAAGCTGTCGTCTACTAACAGGGCACTGTAAGCTGAATAGGTATCTAATGCTAATGGGGTTGAAAGAAGAAGCCATGTGCAGGTTCTGTCAATCTGAAGAAGAAATTACAAAACACATTTTATGTCGGTGCGACAGTAATAGACAATGATAGGCCATTGACAAAGAGCTACATGGATGGTTCATTATTCAAGTTGCTAGACCTTGTGAAAAGGATAGGACTAGAGAATGTAACTTAAGAATCAGAAGAGGTCCACTATAGATCTGGAAAGGTCGCAGTCGTCAACAATCGTATTCACAACTTTATAAAAGACCACTGTAATTCGCATTCCCTAACGAGAACGTTTTTTACCAACATATACTTTCAAATAGGAAGGGGTGCCTTGTGACACATCTATTCAAAGGGCTTTAAATTCCCTTTAAAATGGCGTTTCGTTTTTCAAAATTTGAAGTACGCATCGCTCAGCAGTGGAATTTCAAACAATTTACTGGACCTCTGACAAAAACAGGTTTGCGAACAAAAAACTTATTTTAAAGTTACAAATGGCATTTGAAAATTCGACTTTAACTTTAGCAAAGTCGTAGATCGGTATATTTTGTTATTTCTATGCTACTCTTTCCTTTTTTTAAAGAATGTTTTATATCCGTTGTTTACAAAATATTTGTATAAACTACCCCAATTTTGTTAAAAGCTTTTATTTTTTTATTTTCATTTTAAGCTTACAAAGCCATACAAACTGTTGTTATTACACGTTTGTTTTTTGAAATCTATATCGATGATAAAATGATATTATTTAGAAATTTAAGGAATTGTGGTGTGTATACCTATATCTGTATTTTTTTGTAAACGAAATAACACTATACTATTACTTTTATTAGGAACCCTCATATTTTTTATTTTATATATAGAATCAAATAATAGAACTAAAATATAATCTGTATTATTGTTTTTTATTTACCCGAAGAGCGTTATTTGTGCAGCCACCTTGTTGTTGCGTAAAGTTAACTCTTCAATATTGTAAAATTGCCACCAAAGATGCCTTGAATTTAAAAATTAACAGAGGATCTCTATAAAAATTCATTGACCGGCTCTTACTTTTTTGAAACACTTTAAGCGGCGTTTGCATATTTAATGAAGGTAGCTAAACTATCGTTTATTTTTAATGGGGTATAGAAGAATCTTTTAAAAAAGCATTCCTGTTAATATATTTGCACAGGGTGTTTCAAAAAACATGTGCCATCTCTCGTGGGTAGATTTCTCACGTAAAAATAAGATTTATTTTTCATATCAATATAGGTCGGATTTTGCTTTGTTTCGTAGCTACAGGGTGTTAACATCTAGGGTATCAAGGCAAATTAATAAAATTGCGTTTATCTCATCAAGGAGGCCGAAATCGACAAAAGACAACTTTTAATCGGTATTAAACTGCTTACACTATTTCGCTAACAAGAAGAAAAAGTCAGTGGCGTACATGCTGTTTTAGAAAAACTTTTTTAGCTTTAAAATTTTAAAATGTGTCGCATTTATAGTAACTTTTACCGTCAAAATTTCATTCGAAACGCTAAAAGTACTTGGAAGAAAATTATAGTAAATCGAAAAAATATTAAGACTTTTAAGACCCTGTAGCTACGAAACAAAGCAGAATCGGACTTATTTTGATAGGAAAAATAAATCTTATTTTTACGTGATGAATCTCCCCATGAGAGATGGCACATGTTTTTTGAAACACCCTGTATACAATTCTATTGAGTATAAATGATCACGAAATAGTAACTAAAACTAGCTGATATTTTGAGCGATTGAACCACACTAAAAGAAACATTTAAAAGTGAACCTTTTAAAAATAGATCCAAAGTTTTATGCGCGATTTCTTAAGTTTTTTAGACGCGCAGATTAATTTTCAAGTAAAAAAATGATCTCGAGAGGTAGCCATTAAAAGAAACGTTTTTAAATTTCACAGTAATATTTAATTTGCTCGGAATAATGTTTTTAATGGGGTAACAAACATAAAAGTTTAAAAACTCATTTTTCGTGTGTGAAATCTACATTTAACGAGAGTACGAAAAACGTTTCAAAGGAAAAATACTTTAACGAAGCTATTTTCAGTCTTTAAAAAAAGAGTAAAAATATGGGGCGAAATAAAAGCCACACTTTGTCATGGATCATTTTAGTATATCTATATACTTGCATAATTTAAAGAGTATATATTTATCCCAAGGGATTTTAATTGTCGCGTTAGAAATTAACGAGTTATATTTTAAAGCACCACGACAATTCGATAAGATTTACAATTTTTTCCCATGGTCAATGCCCTTCTGCTAGCATCTGCACACAAGGTTAAAGAACTTATATAATAATAATAAAGTGTCTTTATTAATATATAAATTACATAGTGCAAAAAATATTTAAATAAGTTAGTGACATCCAGCAGGCGTGCTGCTCTTCCATGCAACCAACAAAAATTGTAACTAATAACGAATAAAGGTTAAGAAAAAGAAAAGTGTAAGAAAAAATTACAAATAGAAAATTAACAGGTTTTTGCAAAAATTTTATGAATAAAAGAAAAGCTAACTAACTTTTTATACAGGGTGAGTTTCCTACGATGTTCTCTATGGGTATCTCGGAAACTACTAGAGATAGAGAGTCCGTTAAATGGGGAAAGGACTGCAGTTTTGTGGGGTCATAAATATGCGCCTTTCAGATTTTTGAAAAAGTTCATGGCTTACTAGATATTTCGAAAAAAAACAAATTTCGGCTATTTTAAAAATTGTCCCTAATTCCATTATAAGCTATTTTAGACAAAAAAATTTCAGATAAAAGTTGTAGATAATTACATCCTTAATGAGACTGTGTTCTCTGTTTTTTTCTAGAAACAATTTCACTTGGTTAGCCATGGAAACAAGTTTAAATCGTTTTTGCTCTCAGAACTGTGAAGATGTCACATCCAAACTTTGTAAATTAAAATAAACAAAAATTGTAAATATGAATTTTTCAAATGAAGAAAAGCGTGTAGGATAGTTGGTTCAACTTTTCTTGACCACACATTTTCGAGGATACGTTGACCGGTGAATGTTACGTTTTTTTAGAGAACGGTTTTCAAGACATGTTAGAGAAGTTAAATTAAGTTACAGCCAATTCTTATCTTTCTTGGCTAATTTCACTAGATCGCATGGTATTCTTATTCTGTTATGATTTATAACTTATAAATATATAGTCAGAATATAATAATATTATTAAACGGTCCTTTACAATTTACGTTACACAAACTAAAACTTAAAAAAATAATATCACTACATATACTTTAAGTTATTTTAGAAAATGTTCAAAAAAACCCGTCATTGTTTCGAGTTGCATCTTTTTAAAACTGAATTACTACCTATTATGACAGAAGGACCGGTTGACTTAATTAAACTTCTCTCGTACCGCCACTTTGAGTGCCTCTCTTAATTCATAAGGTTTTTTGTAAACCTTATTGTTAACCATACCGCATAAAAAATATATAAAATGGATAGGTCAGGTGATCGGAGGAGGCCCATGCAATTGGTCTACCTCTTCCTATCCTTGAGTTTGCATAATTATGATATAAATAATTTTTAACATTTCTTTCATTATGGGGGGGTCATAATGAAAGTCGTGTTGGAACCACTCTATTGATGCGCGAGTATCTACACGCTTTTCTTCATTTGAAAAATTCATATTGACAATTTTTGTTTCTTTTAATTCACAAAGTTTGGATATGAAAGCTTCACATTTCTGAGAGCAACGGCGATTGAACTTGTTTCCATGGCTAACTAAGTGAAATTGTTTAAAAATTATAAGAATTGGCTATAACTCAGTAATTTTTCGAAGAAAACATATTATAGCTTATATCGCTGAAAAGCTTAAAAAATGGCGCTTTTTATGAAGTCATGGCCAACTATGGTTTCCATTTAAAAAAACACATGTTTGTGTCATATGTCAAAATGACAGGCTTTAGAAAAAAACGGAGAACACAGTCTCATTAAGGATGTGATTATCTACAACTTTTATCTGAAAACTTTTTGTCTAAAATAGATTATAATGGAATTAGGGACAATTTTTAAAATAACCAAAATTTGTTTTTTTCGAAATATCTAGTAAGCCATGAACTTTTTCAAAAATCTGAAAGGCGCATATTTATGACCCCACAAAACTGCAATTCTTTCCCCATTTAACCGATTCTCTATCTCCAGAAGTTTCCGAGATACCCATAGAGAACATCGTAGGAAACTCACCCTGTATACATATAAATTAAGAATTTTTCTCTAAAAAGGTTTTGACCATAGTTTCAGCCCTTTTTACATCTGCAGGTAGGTGATTATAGATATTTATGACGTTCTGTAAAAGAACACCTTTCATATTGTGCAGTTTTGTGCCTCGGAGTATCATACACACTTTTGTGACGAGTATTCAAGACATGAATATCCCAGCGTGGTAATAACTTAGCGTATAAATATTCCGTATTTTTGGTCACATTAATTCTATAAACTAAGCACGATATATGATACTGATAGCCCTAACACTGTTCAAAATTTAACCATTTTGTGTTTTTAAAAGCATCAGTTATGTGATGAAATTTTCGAAAATTGTGAATAAATCTAACACAAGAGTTTTAAATTTTCTATAAGGTATATTTACTATGAAATGTCAATGCGGACCAATAGAGTGTATCACAGTAGGATAGTCTGCAATAAAGCATTTTTTCGTCGCGAAACCCAATAAAATAATGAAGTTTTTGTGAACTGTGATTTTTCCTTTGTTAAAATTGTTTAACACATAGTTGTATCTTTACCTTTGTAGTTACTGCCCCTCGTTTTATATACTCTCTATGGATTTCAAACCTATTTTCCACACCGGGGGTTAAATACTTTTCAAATCGAACATCGGCGTAGTTGCAATAAAATTTAATTAAACCCGCTGGCAAAACACTTAACTTGGAACTGATTTCTTTAGCGGTCGAAAGAGCATCAGCTGAGGGATTAATAATAGAGTCATCGTCTTCCACTAGTAAGTCCTAAAATTCAATAAGGTCTTATAGTTTATACCCATAGCACTGTTCAGTTTATCTTCCAACTAAGAAATACTTTCATATTTAATATTAGATAACTGTTGAACAAAGATCATATGACTGAGTTTTCTTTTTTTGTCTTCCAATAAAATATACAGGGTTAGGCAATAGTGCGTCGGGCATTTGTAGCTTCTAGAATAAAAAGCTTGGAAATTTTGTTAAAGTGAAAACCTAAACTATGTACTAGAATGTATTTTAAGAAAATATTTTAATCAGATCACTTTACATAATCCTAAGATATGAGTAGATATATTTCTATAGTTTCCAGACATTAATAAATAAATAAAAAATGTATAATTTTCAGACTTTCTTAAAAAAATTATTAAAAATACAAGAACTGTCCTGAAATCAAAACTATATTGTGTATTTATGTTAGATAATCTGTACTTACTTTGCTATAAATATTGTAATCTTAAATCATAGGATGTTCAAAATTCTACGCCAAACTTTCCAAAATACAAAATTTTTTTTTGGTTTTTTTTTAATGGAACATCCTGTATGTTATTTTTTTAGAAATGGACAATTAAAAAATAAACATTTTTTGTTATTAGGGTATTTAAAAATTTTTAAGCAGATATTCGCCGTTTTATATTTCATATGGCATTTTCCATAGTAAACTTTTATCAAAGCCACCCAATGATTTTTCTCTCGTATTTTACCGTTGAAAGAGCCATATGAAGTAATACCGCAAGTATCTGCGAAGCCGTTAAAATTTTTGAAAAACTCTAAATACAAAAAATGTTCATTTTTTAAAAAAATTCAGAAGATCTTTAATTTATTTATTAATACCTCTGAAACTATCAAAACTTATTTAAAAATATCTTAAAATTATATAAAGTGATCAGAAAGGAAGCCAAAAATGTAATAATATACAGGGTGTTCCATTTTAAAAAAACTCACACTTTTTTGAGTCACCCTGTAGAGGTTAAATTATTTTCCTGAAATACATCCTACGTCCTAATACTTACTTTAGGTTTACACTTAAACAAAATTGCTAGGTTTTTTATTTAGGAACTATACAGATGCGCGACGCACTATTGTCGGACCCTGTAGAATCTAGTGTACTAATTGTATCAATGTTAAAAACATTATATTTAGGAAATACCTTAAAAAAACTATTTCTATCTTCACTCATATACAGCATATGTGTTTGCGGGTATGAATCTTTAATGGTTTGAATGAGTCTTCTACTTGGAGCACCGTCATTATCGGTAATTCTTCCATCATTGTTAAAAACCACAACTGCCTGTGCCACAGGCCAAATGACTCTAGCGCTACAGTCAATATTTGTTTTGTTTTGATAGTAATTTATAACAGATTCCAAACTACGACTCAAAGAAAGCGTCCTGGGCCCTTTAGTAATAATTGGAGAAACGATTTTAAAATACTACATTTTAAAAGCTTTAGCAAGATAAAAAGAGACTTTTAGATATTCAATATTTGACGTACATGTGCTGGCCTGATCCATTTGTTCGAAACTCTGGAACATTTGGAAGTATTCCCTGGTCACGTTTACTATCCAGTTGCCATTTTGGCCATTTATAATCCCTATGCTGCTTCCGTAATAGGATAAATCAATCAGTTCGGCCAACGAACTAAAAAGGAAATTAGTCGGTTGTGTAATCAATGAAGTAACTCGATTTTAGTAATTCACCGGCTAACTACAATTAAGATAATTGAATGTTATCGCAGGAATTACAAATCTTTAAAAAACAAATATTTTTTTTATTCCAGCCCTAATGAAAGCCATACATTATACAGATTGTCTCAAAAACAAGTGCAAGTGTTTCAAATTTCTTGGCGGTGTACCGAAACCTCAGCGATCCTCTCCTACGTTTCCCACATTCTTCATACTCGTATGTATAATTTTTAGCCGACCATACTAGGGGATTCAATCCCGGACAATTTTATGTTGTCGGGATCCCGGGATTCTTAACCCCGAATCTCGGGATCCCGGGATTCAATCCCGGGATTTCAGTAATAATGTTACCAATGTTACTTTCAAAGAACATTTTATTAAAATTAACGTTAATTAATTCCGGGATCCCGGAATCCCGGGATTGAATCCCCTAGACCATACCGACAGGTATGGTAGGCTATTAAGATCGGCAAAAAAAAGTTTTTTAATTTCACTCAAAATGAGTTATTTGGGTCATAAATGACTTAAATACAAAATATTTTCATGTTGTCCGTCTGTCCGTCTGTCTGTCCGTCTGTAACACGATAACTCAAAAACCGCTAAACTGATTTTAACCAAATTTGGCACAAAAATACTGTGGCACCCGAGAATCTGGCTATTAGTTTTTGGTGGGGGTGGGGTGTTAGTAAGGGGGTATGGGAGGGGGATAAAAATTTTTAACAATCGTAACTCCAAAATTACAGTAGCTAGCGAAACGCGGTTTTCAGTTTAAGATTAGGAATAATATTTGCACCAAAATTTGTAATAACATCAAAATCAGTCAAAGTAGCAGTTTTTGAGATATTCCGTGTTTCCGTAGTCCGTTTTTGAGAAAATCCGTGTGGTTTTTGAGAAAATCCAAACTCCCATCAGACGCGACCCCAGGTGGCGGATAGGGGAAATAACCGCGGACCAAAATTGGAAAAATTCCTTTACTTTGAAACTAAAAGAACTGCCTACCAACTTTTTATTAACATATTTTAGTATGGGCGGCTAATGTGCCTCCCGGCGCCAATTTTTTTACTTTATTTGATAGAAAATGACACTTTGAATAGAATGACATCACGTGTCAACGGTTGACATTGTTCTGTGGGTTGTAGTAATTTCCGGTGAAACAAGAAGTGACGAAAACAATTGAATCCGTCAATCAATTCTAATTTGTCAAATACTAACACACCAAATTTTTTTATATAAAAGAAAATAAAAAGTTATAGGGGTGAATCGCTTTCGAGAAACGCCCGGTAGATATTTGTATAAAACGAATAATAATTGTAATTGTTAACTTTCATCTTATTTTTATATGATCCAGTATTCTAAAAAAACTAGATTTTATAAATAATTCTAATCAGAGTTATTTGAATATACAGCATTTAAGTTCGATATTCTAACCTAAACGTATGTGAGTTAAATAAACATATCCATAATTATCCCCGACATCCTTAGGTTAATAATAGTCTTATTTAAATAATTCTCCACATGGAAATTTAGCGCACCAACGCAAACACCACATACCACATTAGGGTGTTTTGTGAGACACATCTAAAACCGAATTAACCATTTTAACTGTAATAAATTCTTGTTACGTGTTGACCTGTATACATAATTCGCAATTTAATGTTTCTTTCTAAATACGTTAAATTTTATTATTTTGAAAGGGTTGTGGTGGCTGTTATTCTCGGCCTATTTTAAGTAAATGCTTTGTAAAGATTATGCTATCGAATTTATATAAAAAAACTTGTATATCACTACAAAACAACTTTAGGTAATCTTAGTTAAGATAGGACCTAAACCTACAAAAAACAAAACTCACCGTAATAGTTTAAGCTGAACCTTTTTATGCGGAAAGACCTTTTCAGTAACTTTACAGCTGAGATAAAATTGCGGTTTCCATTTAAATGGAGCATTTACTGTTTTAGGTGAATAAAAATCTTTACGATATACTGTCATATAAAATATGAGAATTAAATGTTGTTTTGTATTTATATATTTTTATATTTATTTTCATTGCTTCCCCTGTTGGGGTAGATTACAAGAACTAATAACAATAACGATTGAAATAAAGAACATTAAGATCAACGTTTTATTATGTCCCCAATCTAAAACCTTGCCGACAATAAAAATATAAGCACTTTACTTCGCGAACTAAGTGAAAATAAAGCAATTTTTACAACGACGAATTTGAAATTCAAATTTTCTGTTCTGTAATAAAAGCGAAGTTTAAAAACTGCTAAATAAGAACTTTGATCGATTATAACTTAAAACTAACATCTAAATTATATTCTAATTATAAAGAAAACACTTCAGAAATACTAAATAGACTTTTCTTTTAGAATAAAGTAGACTATGCAGCCGAAAAGGACTTATAGTACGCCTGTCCATACCATTTTATGCTTTATACTTCAGTACCATGTTATCATCATCATATATGCAACTTTGTTCTACCTGTGTTAATTAATGTGGTGCCTCTCTTGCATATTATGTTTGATTTGTGCTCATTTCTTATTGTTGTTGTGCTGTTTGATGTTAATTGATCTTCCAATCCTGCATAACCCTATACTTTATTCGATAGAAAATAATACTCCGAATAGAATGACATATCTTATGTCAACTTTTGACATGTTCGCATATGGTTTATTTCAAATTATAACTTGCGATCCATAACGAAAATTTGACGAAAATACCAACTGTGTGGTATCAAATTATTCGTAAAAAAATGCTTTTTCCAAATATGCTAATGAGCCACCTTCGTTCTATTTGAAAAAATTGAGATATGATTAAAAATACGATTGGAGCATTTTCTAACTTCTCCTTGATTAAGAACGAGTGTTTTTAACATAGCCATGGCACTCTAGATTGAAATTTAAAGTACGATTTTTAATTAAGCGAAAATGTGAAAAGTTGACATATGATATGTCATTCTATTCAGAATGTCATTTTCTATCGAATAAAGTAAAAAATACCGAGGGTGCCATTTAAAAATCAAAAGTTGTAGTCATTTCTGGTGAAACAGAAAGTGACCAAAGACAATTGAATACGTCAATCAATCCTAATTTATGTCATATGCTAACACGAAATCGTTTTTTATCAGAAAAAATAAAAAAATTATAAGGGTGAGCCACTTTTGAGACGCACCCGGTATAAGTACTCTATGCTAACTTAATTCTTCTGTTGATTTCTGGTAGTAGAGATCCCGAGCTGTTTATTAGTTGTCCAAAATATATATATTCTACTACTATTTTTAATATTGTGTAAACAATGTAGTATTGTAATTTATTAAAATGTATTTTCTGTCTACTAGTTCGTACATTACTTAGTTTGTGCTGAATTCATTTTGAGACCTTATTCTATATTGCTGGCTGTATTTAGTTCATTAATTTGTGTTGTAGTTCTTCTAGGAGGCCGGGTGGACAACTGAAAAGGTACAAGGACATTTTCCACAAAAACTTAAAGGGGATTAACATGCAGAATGAGTGGGAAGAAGCAGCTCACAATAGAACTCAATGGAGAAGAATTGTAAACTCAGTTAACAGCGACAACCAAAAAGTAAAGAGGCAACAAAGCAATGAGATTTTTGAATGTATCGGGCTTTTCAGTCACAGAAAAGCTCATGAAAGAAAACGCCTTGCCTGACCATCTTCTGATGCCTGTCGAATATTCGTCAGCAAGTAACGGCAATACTATGTACTATGTTCTTCTAGACTATTGGCAATTAGGACTATGCCATCAGCGAATCTTAGGTGGTTAAGATATTCTCCATCTATTTTTAATCCTTTGTTGGTCCAGTCTAGTTGACGAAAGATTTCTTCTAGTGTTGCTGTAAACATCTTTGGGAATATCGCGTGTCCCTGTCATATACTCCCTTGCCAGTTAGGAACTCTAGAGTTGTCTAACAGTTATTTGTATTTAATAAAATGAGTGCAAATGTAGGCAAACTTCTTTCTATGTTGTCATTTTTACGTGCTTTATCAAACATTATTCGGTATACACCCCATAAAAAGAAATTCTGCTCCACAGGATAATATTAATAACATAATTATCGTTGTAACATGGCTTCTATTCTTTTTAATGGAGCCCGATAAAAAAATGGATGTATTTTGTTGCCCGGCGGCATCATAGAAAGAAATTATTGAGGGTTAAGATACATAAAGTGGTGCCGTCTTGCCGGGCTTAGAGAGTAAACAAGATGAACAAACTTCTTAATTTTCTCAATAACCCCTATGGCGTTTTCCCGTTATAAAAATAATAAATGTGTAGAGCGACACAAGAAGGTTACTGTCATAAAAAAACCTCGTGGAGTTTCAGGCAAATCGTGACTTAATTTGGATCATTTTTATTTCTCAAATTTAATATATCTTTAACGGTCTATGCAAAGGCACGTTGTAATAATTGCTGATTATGTATTCATCAGCTTTTGTTAATTATCCTATTTAATAGTATACAGGGTGTCCCAGGCTGAGCGTGCATTAGAGGTTTCTAGAGAACTACAATATCTAGATCGGTGATTTTTTGCACATCATCGTTTTACAACGAGATTTATCGATTAAAAATATTTTCAATATGGCGGCACTTCCGGAAATACCGGAAGTTGACAGCACCTTTCTGATTTTAAATGGGTGTCCCAATTTTTTATTACATACTTAATTTCTCTGTAAAATTTTATGAATTTTGGTATTAAACACTCTATATCTAACATTATCCGTTTTTGAGAAAAAAAAATATTTAAAATTTTTACATAAAAAAACTGCCTGTCAAAAATATATGTATGGTCTAAACGTCAAATTTAGTGATTACCACAGCTATTGTCCCATAAAGAGAAGATATGTGGCTATCTATTTCAAAAATTAAATTGTTCGAATGTCAGATAATAATGGTCGCAGCTGTCATGGAATTGAGCGATTAAAAAATTATCAAAAATCATTTTTTTCAAATGGAAACCCACTTTTTCTTTTTCATTAGTGAATAGTTTTTTCAATTCGTTACTTTTTGACTATACATGTTCCTATACCTAAAATACATCGTTTTAAAGTTATTTAAGATTTAGTTGTAAAGCGTATATTTTTCTTGATTTTAACGAGTAGCCTATGACTTTAAACGTCACGTGATGTAAAACAATAAATCTGACCATGTCATATTGTGACACTTTGTTCAAAAAGCAGTATGTTATCGATCATCATTTCCAAGCCAACTTTGCGCTATTTTTTTCGATCATACGGTATATTATTAATAATGAATAATATCAACTATAAGATATAAATAAAGAGTGAAAATACGAGATATATTTTTATAAATACACCAGGATTTATAATATAGGAAATTCAAATAATTCGTTTTCTGACAGATGAAAATAAATTGTCTGACTGTCTGACACTTTTCAAATGTCAAAGGAAGCTAGATAAAATGAAAAATAATATACGTTTTCAAACTAAATCTTAAATAACTTAAAAACGATTTATTTTAGGTATAGGAACATGTATAGTCAAAAAGTATCGAATTGAAAACCCTTTTCACTAGATAAATAAAAAAAGAGTATTTCTATTTGAAAAAAAATATTTATGATAATTTTTTAATCGCTCAATTCCATGGCAGCTACCGCCATTATTACCTGACATTGGAACAATTTAATTTTTGAAATAGATAGGCACATGTCTTTTCTTTATGCCACAGTGGCTGTGGTAATCACTAAATTTGGCGTTTAGGCTATACATATTATTTTGACAGGCAGTTTTTTTCGTCCAAAAATTTTAAATATTTTTCTTCTCAAAAACGGTTAATATTAGATATAGAGTGTTTAATATCAAAATTCATAAAATTTTACAGAGAATTTAAGTATGTAATAAAAAATGGGGGTACCGATTTAAAATAAGAAAGTTGCTGTCAACTTCCGGTATTTCCGGAAGTGCCGCCATATTGAAAATATTTTTAATCGATAGATCTCGTTGGGAAACAATGATGTACAAAAAATCTCCGATCTAGATATTATAGTTCTCTAGAAACTTCTAATGCACGCTCAGCCTGGGACACCCTGTATATCGCATTTATTTCCTATCATACTTACTATAACATCCGTTGCGTCTCGTAGGGAGCAAAAGTATTATCCAATATGACAATGACTTCGAGATTTGCCTTTAATTGAATTCCACCAACGTATTCGATTTGATCAAAACTATTTGCTATCGATCCTGTAATTAAAATTTGCACAGGATAATTCGGTAATCATAGGTTTGTAATTATATCAAGATACGCATCTTCTAATTGGTTGCTTACTTATTCTCGGTCATTTATCATTTAAAGCTATTTATCTATGAAAATATCTATGGAAATACTTAAATTAAAAGTTTATTAAACCAATATATTAAAAAGAGCAGAATTAATTTAGAAGGAATTTATATTTATATATGATAAGTCTTACGATATGAGGTTCAGGGAAACACATTTGGAAGAAAGATTTTTTTTTGTATTGGGCAGTGTTCTCAATATACTTTGGGAGAATTAAAACATATTTTTGACTTACTTGATGCATTGGTGTAAACTTGACTGATCGAAGTGCTAAGTTGTCTTATATAATCGGGAGTGAGCGTTAATGGATAAAGTGCTCTTATTTCTCGTAAAAGAATAGTAGCTCCATAAATCTGAAAATAAAATTGTGCTGGTACAAATATCTTACGTTAGCTAGGTTCAGATATTACTGTTTAAATTAAATGTTGCGAATCCATATCAATGATTGATTAATTCTTGATAATAAAATACGCTACCTGATCTTCCAGACTTTTAGATGTTAATATAAATTCCAAGGAATTTGACCTATTACTAACTTTGAAATCAAACTGATATGGTATTCCTCGACTTGAATAATACATATCGATAATTTGGGATAGTCTGGTACTATCGAGAATATTTACTAAGTGTTGTACAGTTTTACCTATAATAGCAGCTAGAACAAAAGATAAATATTACTAGTAAACCGAACTACATACTTCTTATAATATCTAATGATAAACTATATCAATACAAATAAAAAATTATCTTGACTGGACAAGCTTCCATTGCAATTATTTAAAAATATATTTAATTATTGATCTGAAACATATATTTTTTTAAACAAAGACAATGGAAATCCCACAAGAAAACATATTATACAGACAAACCCGCATCGTTTTATATTTAATTACCAAAGCATTAGACCCCTAAATTATCAACTTCTTTTTAGAGGCAAGAGGCTTAGCAGATAATCACAATAGACTTAATTAATTTTGTCAGGTTTTTTCATTTATCAACTTATTCGAAGTGACAATGGATATATGGCATCAAAATATTTATCTTTAAATAAACAACTACAGTTCTGTTCTACATTCAGAACTGGAATAAAATCCTAATCAATTTAGAGAACCTGACCATTTCAAGCAGTATTTGAAGAAAACAAAGAGAAATAGAGTGTCACAGCTAAAACTAATTTTCCTTTCTTGATCAAGTTTACATAAATTACGAAGAAAACTTATTTATCTCAGTAGGCTTTCTCGTTTTAGTTGATTTATATTTTTTAGATTGTTTATTCCTACTTTTTCTTTTGATTACGCTTATTTTTGTGGTGTAAACAAATGTAAATAAACATTTATTCAGATGATCTATAAATAAATATTGCCAGATGCAGGGTTTGGTTTGGTTTGATAAGTATGTTATTAGGATAAATATGTAAGAACCTTTTTCGCTAGAGAGGTGAAAGGTTCTTGAAAGAGTCTTTTCAGATATTTTTTTGCATTATTAAATTATCTAGAATTTTTTAAATGTTTTGCTAAGTTGTTTGTGTTGAATTGATCTATATACAATAGCGACAAGATCTTGAATAATATTGGTAGTATAGAAAGAAGTTTTGCAACGGAAACTAAATACTCCATACCAATAGGCACCAGCATCTTTCAGAGATAAATCTACGCTATCGAAAGATGAGAAATTATCTTAGAAACTATCGAAAAAAAGAAATAGCCATCGTATCTCCAGATAGTAAAACAGTATTAAAAGCGATCAACTCAGTAACCATAAAGAAACTGGAAGACTCCATGTGTAACCGGGAATGGTCTAAGGTACCTCCAACGGTCTAAGATACTCGAAGAAATTTCTTAGAATTTACAACCTAGAAAAATCAAAGATTTTCCTTGATTTAAATAAGAACAGTCTTCGGATCGTCACGGGGTTTTTAATATGATACTGTTTCCTCAATAGATTGAAGTTAAGAAACAACAGCGAATGCAGATTCTGTGAGGAAAATGGGCAAACACCAGAACACCTCATCACTGGGTAGTTCTCCATCTCCGACTGATATCGGAGATGGAGAACTACCCTCTAAAAAACTACGAATGAGTTATAACTCTAGGAAAAGGGACACAATATATCTGTAAGGTCGCGGTGATTAATCCCCCTCCCATGCATTCTACATTCTACATAGAAGAATAAAATAGAAAAAACCGTTTATTGCTTTGTATCGTACTGTTGCCGTACGCCACTGAAACGCCCACGTGTTGCCCGTCTGCCAATATGCATATGTATATAGAAAATTACCATCTATTCCAGCCAAAATTTCTGCTTGTGTCAAGTCCCACTGTCGAGACCTCAAATAAAAAGCCCGAGGAAGTAACGTATCGTTCCAATAGCCCTGATTACCGATAATGGGATTCTCCGTTGCCTGGCTTAAAACCACTTCTCCCAAATCACCGACTATTGTGGCAAAAAGGACGTTATCGACCTCGTGATTTACGTCATTTGCATCTGAAAGCAACGCCGAAGAAATATTTGTGGCTCCTGCAAATTCAAATCAAGTCGTTTCAGTTAGAGAACATTAGAGTTAGGATCAAGTAACACCAACTTCATGCGAATTAACACAAATTAATCTACTATCTACTCCAGAATTACATTGTTACTCTATCAAAGGAAATTTATTCTTATTCCAATTATTTTCTTATCTATACATACAGGGTGTATGCATACAACGAAATGAAAATTTGCCGGTATCATGAATAGTTTTTATCTTCAAAAATACATATTGCCTTACCTTTAGTTAGGTTAGACTAATACAATTTTTGGTATATTGTAGATATTAAATATCTGTTATTGAAAACGCTATTGAAAATTTAGAAATAATAAAAAAAAATATTCTTAAAAAGCTCTAACCATCAGGTCCTACATTGTTGGTCTTTTAATTCGCTTCTAATAAAATAAAGAATATTACAAAGGCGAAGAAATCGTCGACAATCTTTAGTTTGAAAGTTTCAAAGATCCTCAAACTTCCCCTTAATACATTTTTATTTCAGTTTAACCTCTTTATTTTCTATTCGAGCTGTATTGGGGTGTCTTCAAGTAAAATTGGTTAACTTAATTAACAGAATACTTCAAAATAATCGAAGTTACGGTGTCTAAACGAATTGCCTTAAATTATAACGAAATATTCCCGCGAATGAAGATATTTAAGAGCCAATTATCTCCTGGTATCTCTACAGATTGTATATTTTAAACAGACTTAATAATTTTAAACCTTTAGTAATGCTATGGACGTAATTGCAATGCTCGTAACGTAATGCTCAAGATGGCTAGAAGAAAAGACAATGCAGTTTAACAAACTGTATATTGATTTTTACCGCAGCTACATCGTAATTAATTGATCATAAAAACAAATAAAACATTTGATCTTAGTTCTATTTTAATATTCTATGTCATAACAACTGTAATATCCTCATTGTTGCAAAACTGTAAGTTAATTGCAGCAAATTACGCTTTAAGAATTAAATTCACTTCAACTCTACATTTTTATCATTTCAGACGAATGAAGAATTTTGTTACCAATTAAAATGGCGTTAGTAGAGTAGTTTAAAATAGGGGAAATCAATTTAATATTGGCGGGTAAATTCGGTGAATCCTTATTACATTTTCTATAAAATTAATTACGGTGTTTGACAGCTGAATTTGATAACCATGATAATTAGGGCGCGCTAATAAAGGTAAAATTATAGTTTGGAATATTCAAACTTTAAATTAATGTCATTTTAATACAAATCTGTTCTAGATATTATGTCTCATTTATATAATAATTTTCCATTTCTTGTTGCAGGAAAAAAACTATTTGTATTGTATAAAATATGGATACAACGATAATAAATCTATTGCTATGGTGGATCCATAGTTTTTGGTCTTGTTTTAGTTTTCTCCAAACCATATTTTTCTGGTATTAACTTTAAAAATAAAGCACACTACATTTTCTAACATGATACCTTAGAGACATCTGTTCTTAGTTATGACATACAGGGTGGCCTATTAATGCAAGAAAGTCCAATATCGTCGTCGTTGTCGAAGTTATGAAAAAACGTTTTATACAGATGTTGCATGGTTTATACAGGGGCATATTTTAAAAGTATTTTGTTGGATACAGGATGTCACAAAAAAAGTTATGATAAAGTTTTAAGTTTTTTTAAATTGCACCACCCATTTTTCTTTACAGATTTGTATTCGGCATAATAATGGCAACACCGCATACCGCTTTAAATAAAAGTAGTGTACTAAATATACATTTTTATGCTGAATCTAATTATGTACAGAAAAATGGGTGGTGCATTTAAAAAAACTTAAAGCTTTATCATAACCCTGTATATAACAAAATATTTTTATTTTTATGGCTTGCACGATTTTAAACCGTGTAACATCTGTACAAAACTTTTTTTCATATATTTGTCAACAATCACGATAATGGACCTCTTTGCACTAATAGGCCACTCTGTATTCACAAAAAATTGTATCAGTATTATTAATTTCTGCTTATTCTTTACTGACAAGAGCTTTCAAAGTTTAAATGTTTTACATTTAATTAAAGGATAATTTAGATTTATTTATATGATTTAAGTATGTTTAACGGAGAGACCCTAGAGAGTAGTTAGAAGACACTCATTTGTTGCCATGTAGTTTTAATTTCAAATAAATCTAATTTTATTTTATAGAAGTGTGTTTATTTTAATCGCAAATAAAGTTTACGGTTACTAATGTATTATTAATTATGTTTATTAACAACGCTGTAGGCCAATGGGTAATGGGGAGTGTATTAGAACATGTTGTTATGGCTTTATTTGTAGCTAATAATGGGCGAATGCCAAATTTATGTTAGAACTATGATGTATTAATGTAAAGACCAAAACTAATAAAAATGCTTTTTAACAACAATAATTAAATAGTGTAAAATCAATTGCAGCATATTTTACTTTTAATAGTATTGTTCGTAATACATTTACATTTTCAGATATTAAACTATGTTAGTATATTTGTTTTGAGCTTTAAAAAGCAAAATCTAGACTTTGAACATTTTATATAAATAATTATACATACATCATGTTTTCTTTAAAAATTACTAGAGCATTTGGAATGCAATTATAAGATCAAAAATGTATACTGGCCTGTGTTAGTATGAATTGCATCGATGATCCGTTGAAAGGTAACTTGATTTTGTTGTAGCCCTGTAGCTACACCAGCGATTAAGTGAGAAACCGAAATTGAACCCCAATTTGTTTTAACATTTCCCAGCTTTAAAGGACAAGCACTTTGTGCATCGCTTCCATCTGATGCAAATTGCCTGCAAAACAGAAAAAAAAACATTTTTCAATATAGCTTTATCCATTATTTTACATACAAAACATAAAAGATACAAGATACAATACAAGATGATGTCATCAACATATTCAGGACAAGTAGCATGAGAGCCCATTATAACTTTCTGAATCTTGTGGATATGCATTTTGGTATATCTACTAGTTTTTGATAATTAAAAAAATTACTGAAAATGTCGATATTTTTAATGACAACTATAAATTAAATATTTTTTTTCGCTGTAACTCTACTTCTATACCTGTATAATTTAATTTTTTTATGATAAATGACCTTATCATTGGGGAGACACGTTTCGTATCATTAATCACACCCTTCGAAATTTTTTGCGAAATATAAACTCGACTGAAATCAATATGGCGCCAATTCTATGAGATTTAAATCGCCATCATAAACATATCTCCTTTTTAATGCTAAATAAAAATGTCTTTTTGCTCATAAAATATCCCATCTTGTCTTTGCATATCTATATAGCCCCTGATAACTGAACTGGCTAAACATAACTATAATATTTTTATTAATAAATTAAATCTAAATATTTATATATATATACATATATATATATATATATATAGTTATATATATATAGTATATATATATATATATATATATATATATATATATATATATATATATATATATATATATATATTTATTAAATCGACGGAGTCAGACCCGATACGTTTAAGATAGGCCGTCAGACCCGGGGTATATCGGACGAAAAATGTTCAAGCGATGCTTTCAGGCCCTGATGCTGGACCGTTTAATTTGTCCCATTTATATAATAAATAGACGTTTATTCGTTTTCGCCAGACCCACGACGTTGCCGCTTTTAATTCTCAAATATTTATATTCGAATTAGACGAACGGACCTTTTGACGCGGTAATTGATCACAGTGCAGAAGTGAAAACGGTGCATTTCTGCTATAGTGAATATTATTGTACTTATTGTTAGTATTAGATATATTCTGTCTTATAAATGCATCTGTACGAAAGCGTTTTTATCTGAAATTTCTTTGTAATAAGCATAATCAAGTTACAATGCATTATCAATTTCGTTTAGTAGATTTTGTAAGTGTTTACTAAGTGATGATGGAACCCCGTTTATTATCTTTAAAAGAAAAAAAGTTTAGCTACTTCTACAACGAAATCATAGCATCGAATTAAAATTTTAGATACTCGTACAATTTACACGACTATCGATTCCGACAATAAAAATTAGTTACTTCTACGATATCGTAGTATCGATATAAATATTTAGGTACTAGTACAATTTTTTGACACGACGATCGATTCCGACGACTGTCATTTCTAAGGTAATTTGACGCCGTGTTTTGGAACCATAGGGTATTTGTGTATTTATCATTAACCTTTTTTCTATTTTGTTATAAAGAATTATTTTAACTTATTTTTTTATTACATACAGATATGAGGGCGGCAATTTAAAAATTTGCACTGTGGGCAAGACAGGTAGAAAAAAGATGCTCATTTAGAATATTAAGAAATTTAGACAAAAAAATTAAAATAAGCATTCTTTAAAGGTTGTTTCTACTAGTTTTATTTAAAAATATAAATAATATTAGGTCTAATCCTGGCCGGTTTGAGTTTGGATGAGACTTAAACAAAATTTTTAAAAGTATAAATGTAATAATTTAAATTTTCTGCGTCTGATAAAATTCATGTAGTAGTAAAGTAGGAAAAAAGTGTAGGTTTAAAAGCATCAATTTCTGGGAATTCCATATTTGTAGAGGCTGGGAACCACCTACTTTTCTGGGAACCCCATACTTTCAAGTTTAAATTATTAGAAGTGTGATTAAAACAAATCACTATTTTCATTCATATTGCAATCAATGAATAATAAGAATATTATATTACCAAATATTACTCTAATTAAATTTTCGAATACAAAGTAAATATAGAAGATAGAACATATTATAGAAATGCAACCATAAAACGTGTTTGTCATATTTACATGGTGTTGGTAGATAGCATCCAGCCGTAAACTGGATATACAACGTATTACTGTAGTGTGTAGCCACAGTTTAAAGAATACGTGTAGCCGTCAAAATTTTTGTTTCACTGAAATTACTATTTTAGATCTCACTGAACGAAATAATGCAATAAAATTAATTATTGTGAAATAGCTGAATTCTATCATATTTATGATCGAAAAAAAACGGCGTCAGCGATGGCTATGAAATGAAAATTGCTGTCATTTTATATGTAAAATTATATGGTGTATGTCATCGATCGTCATTTCCAAGCCAACTGGACGCCGCTTTTTTTCGATCATACGGTACCTTTTTGTTTAAACTTTTTCCTGTGGGGAGAAATATCATACAAAACGGCCTTATCGTACAGTCACTATCATATATACGATGATCGTAATTATTTTGATGTAATTACTTCGACAATGAAATCATACCACCGAAATAAATCTTTAGGTACTCGTACAATTCTTTGACCCGTCGATCGATTTAGATGAAAAAAATCTTTAGGTACTTCTATAACGTAATCATAGCACGAAATAAATTTTTAAGTACTCGTACAATTCTTTGAAACGACCATCGATTTAGACGAAAGAAAACTTTAGGTACTACTACAACGAAATCATAGTACCGAAATAAATTTTTGGGTACTCGTACAATTTTTCGACACGATGATCGATTTAGATGAAAAAAAACTTTAGGTACTTCTGTATATGTATAACCATATGCGAAAATGTCAAAAATTGACATATTAATGATATCATTCTATAGGTGCATCCACACTATCCTAAAAACGGCGTATCGGCGGTTAACAGCGTAACTGATTTGAATAGATTTCCAGCAGTAATTCTATTGGCTGAAAAATTCATCTGTCAATAGAAATTTTATCTGTCAAATTCATCTGTCAAAAATTTCAGCTAATAGAATTACTGGAAATCGATTCAAGGTCATTACGCCGTTTTTAAGATAGTGTGGATGCACCCTCAGAGTGTAATTTTGTATCGAATAATGTCAAAACACAAATACGACGACTGATTTAAACGAAAAAAATTCAGGTACTACTACAACCTGTGACTACAACGAAATCATAGTACCGAAATAAATTTCTAGGTATTTCTACGTACAATTCTTTGACACGACGATCTGTTTTCTGAGACGAAAAGCATTTATAGGTATAGGCGTAGGTTTAAAAGCATGGACTTCTGGGAATTCCCTATTTGTATAGTATAACCACCTACTTTTCTGGGAAACATACTTTAAAGTTCAATTTATTAGAATTGTGATTAAAAGAATGCACTATTCTCATTCATATTGCGATTAATGAATATTAATATTAATAATATTATACTACCATATATTACACAAATTAAGTTTTCGAATACATAGTAAGTAAACATAGATAGAAGATAGAACATATTATAGAGATGCAACCATAGAACGTGTTTGTCATATTTATATGGTGTTAGCATCCAACCGTAAACTGAATATACAACGTAGTACTGTAGCAATCAACATTTTTGTTACACTAAAATTACTATTTTAGATCTTAGTGAACGTAGTAATGTAATAAAATTAATTATTGTACTGATTAACTACCATATAATCGAAAAAAAAACTGCGTCAGCGGTTTGAAATGAAGATTGCTGTCATTTTATACCGGGTGCGTCTCAAAAGTGGCTCACCGCTATAACTTTTTAAATTTTTTTTAGATAAAAAAACGAGTGGTATTTTAAGTATATGACATAAATTAGGAATTATTGACGTATTCAATTGTTTTTGGTCACTTCCTGTTTCACCGGAAATGACTACAACTTTTGATTTTTAAATGACACCCCCGGTATGTTTTTGCATTATTTGATAGAAAATGACACTCTGAATCGAATGACATATCATATGTCAACTTTTGACATTCTCGCTTTAAAAAAATTGTATTTAAACTTCAATCTAGAGTGCCATGGCTGTGTTAAAAACACTAATTTTTAATCAAAGAGCCTTGGAAAATAGATTTGATAATCTAATGATTTTCGTGTCTTGTCCGGGCCCGTTCTTATAAGAGATGCTCAAATCGTATTTTTTAATCATATCTCAATTTTTAAAAACGGAACAAGAGAGGCTCGTTAGCATATTTGGAAAAAGCATTTTTTACGAATAATTTGGTACCACACACATGGTATTTCGAGTCAAATTGTCATTATGAACCGCATGTTACAATTTCAAATAAACCATATGCGAAAATGTAAAAAAATTGACATATTATGATATGTCATTCTATTGAGGGTGCATCCACACTATCCTAAAAACGGCGTATCGGCGTAACGGCATAACGACCTTGAATAGATTTTCAGTAATTCTATTGGCGAATGCGTCTCAAAAGTGGTCCACCGCTATATCTTTTTTATTTATTTTTTTTTGGATAAAAAAACGAGATTTGGTATGTTAGTATATGACATAAATTGGAATTGATTGACGTATTCAATTGTTTTTGGTCACTTCCAGTTTCTACCGGAAATGACTACAACTTTTGAGTATTAAATGACACCCCGGTATGTTTTTACATTATTCGATAGAAAATGACACTCTGAATAGAATAATATATCATATGTCAACTTTTGACATTTTCGCTTAAAAATAGTATTTTAAATTTCTATCTATTATAGAGTGCCATGGATGTGTTAAAAAACACTAATTTTAATCAAGGAGCCTTGGAAAAATAGATTTGATAGTCTAATGATTTTCGTGTCTTGTCCGGGCCCGTTATAAGATATCAAAATCGAATTTTTAATCATATCTCAATTTTTTCAACCGGAACAAAGGTGGCTCGTTAGCATATTTGGAAAAAGCATTTTTCTACGAATAATTTGGTACCACAATTTTGGTACTCGAGTCAAATTGTCATTATGAACCGCATATTACAAATAAATCATATGTGAAAATGTCAAAAATTGACATATTTATGATATGCCATTCTATTCAGTGTGAT